TCAGACAATATGAAAAAAGCATTAAAAAGGTTTGTTGGAGATGCTTCCTATAAGAGGTACAGTAATTTAATATTTCACTCTTGTTCTATAATAAATCACGGACCTAAAGATTCTTCAAGTCCGTGAATAAATGCACAGTCAATACTATTATAAAGCTTGCAGGAATTATGTATTCAAGATCAATTGAAATGTCACAAGATGCGATAAACACTTTTGAAATTCAAAATTTAAGATTTAAGATATACATGTACAGTACCACAGGCTGGTATCGAAAAATTTGTCCGCTGTGACGGAGCGTGCTATTTTGCATAGAAACACTAAGAAACGAACGCAATTTATTTTTTTACTCACATGTTTCGCTATGCCATAGAAAATAACTTACTCCATTCAATGGATATATCATTTGCGGGTAACTCTAACATCTGTTTGAAGTCCAACAACGCTAAGAGTAAAAGCTATTGAAAACGGCGCCGGGGTATTATACTCCAAAATGTACCATTTCTTTTATTTCTTTTTAATGGTACAATATAGTGACACGATAATATTTACATGTGTTTTCAGCATAACTCTGAAGGTATTCATGAGATCTTGAAGTATTGGGTATTTTTCATATTTTGTACAAAAAATAATGTTTAATTTTTTTGTCCGCTGTGACGGAGCAGCTTTAACTGTGAACTACATTAAGAATTTAAGATTCAAATTACATCTTTTAAAAGTACCCTTAGAGAGAAAGTCTCAAATCACTTTCCTAAATTATGACAAGTAGTCTAGGAGATCTGGGGTAATGTAAGTCTGAGATATAAAAACGACCGCTCTTTTCAGATTTTCGGAGGATTGTACTAAAATCAACATAAATCAACATGGTGTCAACTCAACATAATATTTCTAATACGTTTTTCGACAAGACGCCTTGGAATGTCACATGTAGTGTAAATAAGGCTAATATTAATTTATTCGAAATAGCGTACAGGCATTCTGCATTCCGACAGTTGTATATCATTTTACCACATAATATTACTGTATATAAGGTGATCCCAATACAGATTTAATTATTTGAAATTCGTGCCTCATTGTTTTGCATAGTCTAAAAATATTTTAAAAAGTCATGGTAAACGTGCTGCACGGTAAAACCTGTATCAATGAACATCTTTCTCTAGTGAACATCTCTTCTTATCACATATTCCTCTGACTTCTGTATGAAATTGTCTCTATGGAGTGAACATCTACCAAATGGGAATACATTTTTGGGGCTCCATATGTGTTCACTGTACACATGTTTTACTGAAGTTGCATCAGATAACCCTACCTCTTATTCAAATAAAGAACAATCTTAAAATTAAATTTTGCATTTTCGTATATCAAGATACACTCCACTTACCTTTTGGAACGACTATAGAGGGAAGTTGGATTGCAGTACAAACTAAGAAAAAGCTTAAAGAGTGGTCGTATACTAGTATACATCTTAAAATTTGAATTGTTTACTTTTATTACGTTTCATTTTTCAGAATACTTTACTAAAGAGCTTTGACACATTCGCTCCTCCACATTGTAGATGTAAAAGATATAATTTGAATCTTAAATTCTTAACGTATTTTAGATTTGAAAGTGCTCCGTCACAGCGGACAAAGAATTGAAATATTATTTTTTATAAAACAAATCAAAAATACCCAATACATCAATATCTCATTAATACCTTCAGAGGTATGCTAAAAACATATGTAAATATTATCGTGTCACTATATTGTACCATTTTAAAGAAATAAAACAAATGGTACATTTTGGAGTATGATACTCCGGCGCCGATTTCAATAGCTTTTACTCTAACCGTTGTTGGACTTCAAACAGAAGTTAATGTTATCCGCAAATGATATATCCATTGCATGGAGTAGGTAATTTTCTTTGATATAGCGAAACATATGAGTAAAAAAATAAAATGCGTGGATTTCCTTGTGTTTCTATGCAAAATAACACGCTCCGTCACAGCGGACAAATTTTTCGATACCAGCCTGTGAGTACTGAGATCGATAAGAAAGTCAGAATAAAAAGTGGTTTTGAATATGAAGTAGGCAGGTTAGCTTACATTATTATGATGAACCCTGAAGCCTCCTATATTTGTCATAAAACGAATGGACAATACTAGATCTACTACAATTGATATATGATAATGAGAATGTATTTTTCATATGTAAATATCAGCCTTTGGTAACGTTGAATATTTCTCAGTCTTAACAATGTAGTGCGCATCAATTTCAAAATTTATAAAATGATCGGTCCTCAAAGGGGAATCCCTTGCCTATCACATGACCAATATGACGTCATCCAGGAAATCCTCCATTTTTATTTTGTTAAAAAGTTTATTTCTTCCGTTTGACTAGTTTATGTGATAAGTACAGCTACTGTGTGCGATAAATAGTTATGATATGAACATAATTATAATGATGCATTAATAGGTACATACATTATGGACATGAGTTTGTTTTTGAGACGTACAAATACAATATACAGTTGAGAATTTGAACAAAAATATTTTTTTGTCACTTTTTCATGATCATTTTGAATCGAAAGCGAAAATTTAGGGAGTGGTTCATACCAGAGAGTCTTTATTGGGCCGATATTGCCCATAGTTATATTGTTGTGTTGAGTTAACCTCATGAACATTGATATATATGATCTAAGTGATAGTGAAGACGAAGCAACTGAATCGTCACCCCTGATGAGTGGATCGGCAGTTCCAGATGGGGCGGGGCTTGATGCTGCAAGAAGAAATGAGCACCCTGAGGTTAGTGTCCTGTTTATCAATAAAAAGATTTGATGCTATGACTTCATTATGTTAAATATTTGTTGATATAGACGAGTGTGTCAGTGTGACTTTATGTTTTGTATACTGTGTGCAGTGCTATAGACACTTGCTGAAATTACACCTGAAAAAACGCTAAAAGCGCTTTAGTGAAAAGCGCTTTATAAAATCGCCTCATTACACTAACATTTCTAAAGCGCCTTAGGAATTTTATTTTGAAATTACACATGTCATTTCTAAAACGCTTTTTGTGTATTTTAACGATGTATATGTGGAGAATATCCAGCACATGTACAGTACATCTACAGTAAAAATATTCTTTTAGCATTTAAGAGAAAACGTAACTGAGACTTTTGCCAGTGATGTGAACTTGCTTTCAATTTTTGCGATATAATTTGATGACCTATTGCATTTTTGGGTCCCATCCATCATTTCCTGTATTTTTGCAGAGGCCCAAATGTGTAGCATTCGAAACTCTTCTTATTTCGTTTAGGGCAAGTGACAAAAACTCAAGTTAGGGCGTTATACAAAAACCGATCGGTATTACACTACACTCCAAAAGCGCCTAACGATTTAAGGTGTTTATTAGTGACTAGGGTACTGGGTGTTTTGGAAAAGTGCTTTTGTAAAACGGCAATCGTGATTACACCTATTTTTCAAACCGGGTTAAAACCTTAGGCGCCTTTCTAAAATGCATTGTGTAATTCCAGCAACTATAGCTTTCAAAGGCATCTAAATTAGGCTGAGACAATAATAGTTGTCCCAAGCTAATCCAAATAGTGACATAGGTGACATATTGTTCTAGTCTCCAAGTTTTTGTGAATGGTAGGTGGTGACATTTTACATGTTAATGCTTTGTCTGATTCATGCCTTGGAAAATTCAAAATGGCTGCCTAATAACATAGTGGATTCATGAATAATTTGTTCATTGGGATTTCCTACTTGATGGAGTAGCAGTTTTCTAGTTTAATTTTGTTTCTTGAGAACGTGTTGATTAAAAGCAGAATCAGATCTACAGGGGGTGATAAAATTGCAAGCAACTTGTAGATTTGACTGACTAACATACTGTATTCCTTACAATCTAATATATAATATCTCCAAAAAGTTCCTGAGATTATCAGTTGGTGAAGTTATTTAAGATTCAAAGTGCCAAAATTGGGGTAGAAAGTTTTTCTCAAATAAAGTATTAACTTGCCCATCAGCTTAAAAAGGTCAAAAGGACAGTTATTGGAATTTGACATGGAGATTTTGATAAACTTTGTCCTGTAAGGTACTTTCATGATTGCATATTCCCAGTTATAAGAATTTGACCATATTTGACCCCTCCCTGTCTTGGGGTCTCACACAAACCTTTGAATGGGGCATTACCACGTACCAGATGCCTATTGATAAGAGTCTGTTAGTGCCATTGCCAAAGTTTATATGTCAAAATAGAAACCATTTACATTTACTTTAGTAGATCTTTTACAAATTAGCTTTTCAAATTGGGTTTCTAAATGCTGTCATCATAATGTGGTCAATGGATAGAATTTAAATATTCAGACTCAATATTTCTTGGTATGAAAATCTAGAACTGACTAGATTTTGGGATGCAAGGCAATTTTTAAGGCAGCCATTTTGGATGTTTATTGCAAAATCTTGGCTGTATATGTCCTCATCCTGTCTGCTCATTTGCAGGCAAACGGCTTGATAGTATGAAAATGTAACACTAATACGTTTTTATTATTACCTAATATTATTAGACTATCCATCCCAAAATCTGATCTGCAAGAATTCCGTGTCATACCAGCCAAACTTTTCAAAGGCCTGACAAATTTGACATGCTCACTGTGCCTTGTTGAGAACCATTTTAAGTGCCAAAGATCATAAGTCACAGAGGCATGAGTTAGGGTTACCCTTCCCTGTATATAGGCTTTCTATTCTTTAGAATGTATCAGCTTATGGAATACTGACTTGTGTATATTCATACACATGATTATGTCCATTCAACAATATGGCAAAATAGTATTGTTAATTGTAGATACCAAACTTCAGGAAGGGTCCTGGAAATGAAGAGGGGATGGGGGCCCAAAAAATGTTGGGCCTCAAATTTGGAATTTTAGGCCCAATTTTGGGCCAATAGTAATTAAAAGTAATTTTTAATCGTAGGTGTCACTGAATGTTTTTTAAGAATGATTGTTTTGTTTTGTATCATTATAAAGATGGCATTGTATTATATCTCCTTTTTATATCTGATGTATCACTATTAAACTTGCTATTTTTCACCACGCAGTTCATTCAACTGGTGAATATTGTTCAAAATTGAAGTATGCTTTGCTTGACGGTAGCTACTACCAATAATTTACCTGAAAAGCTTAAACCATGTTTTCCGATAAAGATATATTTTGTATACCCTCTGGAGTGGTCTTTAACAACCTAGTCACATTCATGATCTGTGATCTCCCAAGCATTAAGGCAAGTGGGCACTGCACCCACTTGAGATTTGGTAGATATGCACCTACCCGAGAATCCATTTGCACCCACTTGAAAATGAGAAAAATCCTGAAAAATAAACATATTTTGACCAAATATGGTCTTAATCATGTAAATAAGAATTTTGCACCCATTTGAGATAAAATCCTGGGGAGAACACTGATGAATTACTGAGGTGCGAGTAGGTAGTTACCAGGTTCACCACCAGGTGGCTGATTTTGGGGAAATAACATGGCAGGGTATTACAAAATTCCCTTAAACGTGAATATTTTATCAGTTTTAGTGGTTCACTTTTCATATTACCTACCCTTTGCATTCGTTTGACTTCACTTCTTAAAAGAGAGCTTCGTCTTCACTCTTTCAAACTAAAATAAACCTGTGAACTCACCGCGCCAATCAGTGTTCGTCGGCCAAAATTGACCAACGTTCTATATATGGTCATTCTTTCTGACATCATCGTTGAGCCCGGAATTGACCAATGACATGCGCATATTTAATTAGAACGCATTTGGCGTATGTTTCTCCAAGCTCGCTGATTGTTGGAAGAAAGGTCAGCGCGTAGGTCAAAAGTTATTTATAACCCAAACGGCCACCGGTACCCGTCGTGGGGGCGGGGCTACTAAACTGTAATATGGTCTCTACTAGGCAGAGTGTAGTTTAACTAGACTCTGCACGCAGGGTACATATTACCCTTTTGTATCTGATAGTTATACAAATTGAAATATGTCCAGGAAAAGAAAGGCAAGAAATATTATCTGCCTAACACAAGAAAAGATATTTCACTTCTTGTGATTTTACAATATGGGCTCTATGGGGAATCTCCCCGACCTAGATGTCACATTTTCAAAGAAAATTAAATTTTCAAAGTTGATAAACTCTTTTCAAAACCACATTTCTAGATGTAATTTTACATGTAGCTTCCAAATATGACATTTTGAATTTTTAATGACGTAAATCAAGATAATATCTACTCGCATCTAGTCTATTTGGTTCACCTTGTGTTCAAATAAACTTAGTTTTAAACTCCTTCAATGTTTCCCTTTGATTCTTGGACATGATTCCATCATGAAAGTGGTCATCCTTGAAGGTTTCATACTTTGTTACAATTATCTGTTTAAATTAGAGGATGCATATGTTGACGGCTAAAGACTCCATGGGGATTATCCATGAGGATTATGCTTCATATGGCCAAGGATGATCTCAATGATATAATACATTATATTCATCATAATGTGCAGATCTATTTATTAATAATCTAAAAATGTCTACCTACTGGTGAAATTACAACCTTCTTTAAATAACATCCAAATATAAGATAAACACAAATAATTATAAATTAATCACACTACTTGTAAGTGGCAATGTTCAGAAATACAAATGGAGTTCATTATCTGCATATATTTTCAACCTGGCAGCATTGCACCTTCAAGTTGCTTCAGCCAAATACCTTTTAAATACCTTAACACCGGATCGTGATAGTTCAAAACTTTGTAGCTATTCTTAGTGCTGCCATTCCTTTTAAGAATCATTATGCAGAAATGTATGTAAGTGCCCATCCGTTTCACCTTGCCAATGTGACAATATTCATGAAGATCGTCAACGTAACAAAAGCGAGGGACTAAATATGTGAATTGTGTCTTTGTTAATAAACCAAACATAGAATCGCCCGCATATTTTCAAACTAGACTCTCTTCCTTAACTTTGAGCCAAATTATTGTCCACAACTTGACTTAAAGGTAGTGTAGAATCGAGAAATAAAAATATCTTACCAAAAACGAAACCCGGAAGTTCTTCCATCTTGTTACGCTGACGTATCGTCAGGGTAACTAGGTGAGTACCAGTGACAATGCTTGCTTGACCAAAAACAAAATTGATATTTCTATTATGTAAAGCATTGGTTGTTGTTCTATCATTAAACCCTTTAGTTAATATGAGTGCCTTGAATCATAAATTATAAACGAGCACAGAATTGTAATTAAATGTATTGCTATCAGCTACAAGGGGGAAATTGAAATGAAATGAGAAATTATGACGAAGAGTTCAATGCTGGTAGCTATTTGATCAATTTGCCAAATTAAAGCATATGTGTAAAGCATCATCTGCTGGCACCAGTTTCATTATTACAAATGGTCTGAGACGGTTTTAAATATTGCACAAAGGAAGGAAGCAATAAATAATATTGCTCAAATCGATCTGGACAGTCCCTGTCTTTTCATGCTGAAAGTGGAACATATATCACTTCGGGAACTTCTGAGATAATTCTATCGCAGCTTACCATTAGACATCAATCGTGAATGCTTGATTTGTCGAGAATGGAACAATTCTGAATTACATATTACAGTAGGCAATCTTAGTTATCTGGCTTAGACCATGCCTATAAGACATCACAGAGCTAAGAATTTGGGATTAACCTTGATAGAATCAGCTTATGTACAATGGATTGAAGACACATGCAGTGACATTTTTGGGATTAGTGTTCACTGTAAAGAGTTTAATGTCTATAGGTGTTCAATGTAGAGAGTGAGCTTAGGTATATATTGAGGAGAAACATTTCTGTTCTGAAGTTCAATACAGAAAGGTGTTCTTTAATGCAGGTTTAACTGTAATCAGCAATTTGCAAGGTATGTTCATTGTTATAGAGGCAATGGTATCACCTGCAGTATGCCTGCTCTACTATAAAAACACAATCAATGAATGAGATGGAATCACATTTTCTGATTAATTGGGACTGTAAGGATTTGTCATGAAATCAATGTGCAATTTATTAGAGTGAATTTGGATTGATACAAACATAAAGCAAGGATATACATTGGATATTTAACATTTAAATTAGGAATTATGGATATTTGAACTCAGAGATGATTGCAACCAAGCATATAAGAATATCGTAGTATCACGGACTGTTATTGTATATTTCAAGGATCCGTTTGTCATTTCTACTAGTGCTCAATGATTATTGTCTGTTGATGGTACTCCAATGTCTTATTGCATTATAGACACTAAAGAGAGATCACCTCCCAGAATTCTTCATCAACGATTACATGGTCTGTTCTCACCAATCAACAGTGACTGATATATCACAAATACCAATAGACTGTAAATTAAATCGACAGCTAAATAATGAAATCAAGTAGTCCTAGGTCCATGTAAATCTGCTGAGAATTCCCTCTCTTATTTCATGCTTTGTTTCAATGACTCAAGTGAATGAGTCATAGCGAGGGAAATTAACATTACTCCACGGACTCTGAAATGTCTTGCAGAATTGATTATTAAGAACACAACGAGGAAATAATAATGATCCTCTGATGTTATAGAACAATACTGTACTGTGTGTGATATCACACAGGAACTGCACAGATTAACCTACCTGCTTGCAATACACAGGGGAATATATGTCTAACAGCTTCAAGCTTTTTATTGGGACGTTGATAAGCAAATTCTGGAATTGACACTTTGCTGTGTTGCATGTAAGGAGATGCATGTCAAGTGATCAGCAATGCGAGGATTGTATTATTAAAAGTCACAGAAAAATGGCGAATATTTGAAAGTGTCAAAGTACAAAATACTGTAATAAGGAGTCTATTGTATATGAAGACGACATTGTGTGGGTATATGATTATGATATAACCTGACACATACTATTAAAGTTAATGGACCATATTGAAATGACTGACTAAAAATCGTTAATATGTCATCACATTATGCTATATACCTCAAGTGAGAACACTTATTTTATGAGAGACACTGCATTCGTGATATAAGCAGAATCAAAATGTCGTCACGCCCTGTGTCAGTGACGTTTGAGAAGGGAGAGGAAGAAGAGTGTGCTATTTTGCTGTTAGACACTGACTTTCCTGAGCACACAAAACAGAGCCCCACTGAGAATGGGGCTCCCTCGCACAGTATTAGTAATGGATTCCTAAAGAGATTATCAAAACGAATATCAGTGACAGGCAGCCATGATGAGCCATTAGTTGAATTTGAAATGGTAATATTTTGTGAATTTTCCATTACATGCCCTTACTACTGCTGCTCATATTACCCCATCCATCTGTTATAAAAACAAAGATTTTTATGTCATTTCCGCATCCTACTAAGGATTTTGTTGCAGATCTCATTTTTTCTATCGATGACCTTATTGGCTTTTTCAGGAAAATTATAGTCATTTACAATATGAAAAATATACCAGCAAACTCTCCTTTTATATTGATCCTATAGAATTACTAAATTCTCACTTCTAGAATATATCAAATGATTTTCAGTCATATTGTGTAACATGTGTGTCTATTAGATACAGCAGATGTTCTGATTTATCTATTTTGAAACCCTTGTACTTTCCCCTCCCATCCTCTCTATCACACTCTGTGATTGGATAAAGGGGGAGGGCGGGTACATGACCTTGATGCATGACTATGAATACAGAAATAATGTAGAAGTGCCTACTATGACAGATTGACAACCTACAAAAAATCTCACAATTTTTAGCATAAAGTATATTAGCAAACTAGTTTTTGGTATTTTGAGATAATGCATCTACCCTTTACACACACCACATTTCCGTCACATTTTGTGCTTTAGGGGATTTTGCTGCAATCCCTCTGCATACCCCATATCCCAAAAAGGAACAAAGACAGAAATGAAAAGCACCCCGGGCATACCCAAGCATAGAATATATAGGGGGCACTGAAGTACAATAAAATCACATACATCTTTAAGATGCTTATCTCTGCAATTCACTACAAATAACAAATGTATTATTAATACATTTTATCTTGATTAATCTAAACTTAAGTGTTAAGTTTATATAAGGCCCTAAACAAATTTTCCTGCTTACTCTGGTTTGGGTAAATTGAAAAGAAGTTAAATCCGATTTATTTGCCCTGCTAATATTAATCTCATGGGGAGTATCCAAGCGATTGTTTTATTCACTTTTAGTCCATACATTTTACTATGTCACAAATATACCAAGATTTAACAAAATAAGTATTGTGTTCACTTGAAGGGGCATTAAATCCCTTGGATTCTAACTGTATAAATATTTATTGATAATTGCAAAATATGATACCATATTGTTTTATTGCAAAATATGATACCATATTGTTTTATTGCAAAATATGATACCATATTGTTTTATTGCAAAATATGATACCATATTGTTTTATTGCAAATAATTAATGTACTCAAAACAAATACCATAGCAGCAGTTAAAATAACAGACATTCATAAATAGGTTTTATTAATGTCTAAAAAACAAATATTTTAAATGTCATATATGAAATTAGGACACACTGATCAATATTAAGGTACACCTGCATGGTAATAATTTTATTGTGAACGTGCAGAACTACCTTAAAGGGATATTCCTTGCAAGCCCATTGCTGTCTTGATGGTTGCAACTAATTGTATCCTAGCCTTACTCTGAGAAAATATGAGAAAAGGTTTTAGTAAGGTCATATTTAATCAATGAAATATGTACTCTTTATTTCAAGGAAGCTAACAATTGTTAAAATTTCACACAGTTAAGACATATTCCCATGTTTTGCTTAATATGGATTGTATAAAACTTGATTTCGTCAGTGAAATATGATATAAATATTTTCATTCGTTATGCATAATGTTAGGCTAGCACCTTGAAATGGCCATTGATTTTACCCTCATAAAATAGTTCAGAGTTGGGTTTCTTATATTTTTGACAATATTGTTTAAAATGTTTTTCTTTGTGTGAAAATGAATTATAGCCAATTTAGTACATACTTGAGATACTGGCCTAGGTAATTCATTCTTAGAGGCTTACTTTAATTGCTACTTACTATATTCCATCCATCAAAAAAACAAGATCTTTTTGTATACTTTAATTCAGCATGTCTTTCATAAAGTTGATTTGTGTTTCTAGACAGACAGATCTACTTCTTCACGTGAACGAGGCACCAGAACTGAGGCAGATGGCAGCACTCGTACTGAATCAACACGTCGTCCTCGGGCAGGTACAGAGGAGGAAGATGAAGAGGAAACATTGGTATATGGAGCAAAACATGTCATCATGCTGTTCATCCCTGTTACATTGTGTATGCTTGTTGTCGTAGCAACCATCAGTTCCATCACTTTTTATACAGAAAGATCAGGATATTTGTAAGTAGCATCTCAAAATCACATTTATTTATTTTAACTTTAGGCAATTTTTGAAAGAGGTTATTTAATGAAAGGGAAATATAATTCATTTCCAACTATCAATAACCTAATTATCCCATGATACTTCTAGTTCCCAAACAATATCGCCAATGTTCTTTTTGGTCGAGCTGATAGTGAGCTTTAATGGTCTTTTCATAAAGGAACTATTCTCCAAAAACAAGATCTGATTTTATATCCAATAAGATAAGAAATGGATAGATTTGGCAATGAGATTTTTTAATATCATAAAAAGCTTAGTTAATGATTGGAATTGAATGTGAGTGGAATAAAACACTTATCCATACCTTCCAGTAAATAACCCCTATGTATTCCATGAAATGAAAAATCAAATATCAAAGTTATTTCGCAAATACATTAATATGTTTTATCTATGTGAAACTCTAGCAGAGTTGAAACTGAAGGATTATTAGATCATCTATGTTCTTTATTTTCAGAATCTATACTCCTTTTCATGAAGAAACCACAGATACAGGCACGAAAGTATGGCAGTCCATTGCAAATGCCATGATCCTCCTTGGGGCCATTGTTGTCATGACAATATTTCTTATACTGCTCTATAAATATAGATGTTATAAGGTAAGTTAGATGCAGGGTTTTTGGAATAAGAGTAGTATTATTCGTCGCAATTGTTACCCGGGTAATCGGAACAATCTGATGCAACTGGGACATTCTGGGACAATCTGATGCATTCTGGGTCATTCTGGATAAGTAGAAATAACACAGTAAATAGAAAATGAGTGTCATAAAGTAAGCAGAGAAATGAGTGTTATAAGTATGTTAAAATGGGTGTTAGTGTGATATATGAAAATGGATGCTACTATGAAATGAGTTCAAAATATGACAAAGAAATAAACTTTTCCTATCCAATACTATTTTCCAAATTTTCCTGTACATTTCAATTTCGTCAGTAAATAAAGCAATTGAATGAAATCTTTTGACTGAATTACCACTAAAATAAACCACTAATGTTTTTTTATTGTACTTTCAGTTCATCCATGGTTGGCTGATCTTTGCCTCTTTGCTCCTGCTTTTCTTCTTCTCTTATATTTACCTAGGGTAAGTGAATAACATATAGGGACATGATCGACAAAAAGTAGCAATATTGGTCATATGTTTAATTGTGATGCACTTAACTGTGAAGTGTTCTTGAGTTTTTATGTCACCACCACAAATGGTGACATATTGTTACAGTCTCCAATTTTTTTGTTGATGGTGTTCGGTATTTGGCATCCAACGGTCGGTGTCTGTAACAAATGGCAGGTGATGACATTTTGCATGTTAATGCCTTGTCAGTGTATTGTTTTGCCCAGTTACAACTTATAAAAAGTGTTATTCATATCTATAATCCATTATCCATAAATTATAATCTGTTATTCAATTAAACTGTGCTATCCAGTTATGTGTCAACTACTTTTGAAATGTTATCCAGTTGTAATGTGTTATCTTATTCTAGTATGTTATCCAGTTTTAAAGTACCGTTTCTTATAATATAACTTCCATATTTCAAGGGAGATAACTTCTATATTTCAAGGGAGATAACTTCTATATTTCTATATTTCAAGGGAGATAACTTCTATATTTCAAGGGAGATAACTTCTATATTTGCAGTGAGATAACTTCTTTATTTGAACTGAGATAACTTCTATATTTCAAGTGAGATAACTTCTATATTTCAAGTGAAATAACTTCTATATTTCAAGTGAGATAACTTCTATATTTCAAATGAGATAACTTCTATATTTCAAGTGAGATAACTTCAATATTTCAAGGGAGATAACTTCTATATTTCAAGTGAGATAACTTCTATATTTCAAGTGAGATAACTTCAATATTTGAAATGAGATAACTTCTATATTTCAAGGGAGATAACTTCTATATTTGCAGTGAGGTGCTCAGGGCATATAACGTCCCTATGGACTACATTACCATAGCAATCGTCATGTGGAATTTTGGTGTTGTTGGTATGGTGTGCATACATTGGCGTGGACCACTCCTGTTACAGCAAGCATACCTTATAGTGGTCAGTGCTTTGATGGCACTGGTCTTTATTAAATATTTGCCTGATTGGACCACATGGGTTGTACTGGCTGTTATTTCTATATGGGGTAAGTTAAGCATATAGCTCTTATGAGTTTGCCTATATATTGTATCGGAAGAACTAAAGGCCCATGCCTGGAATGGCCCTGTTTTCTTTATTAGTAGCCCTTCTTTTACCTACAAGACCTCAGATGTGATTAAGAGATTCTGAAGAGAATACCTGAAATGGATTCTAAAAATGTTAAAAACTAACCAAAAATGAGTTGTTTCGCTGTCTGCTATTTTAGGACATAATACATGTACCTATATAAAATATGCTAATCTCTAACAAAATGTTAAACTGTTCGTCTTCAGATTTGGTAGCTGTGCTTTGCCCTAAGGGACCTCTCAGGATATTGGTAGAAACTGCCCAAGAGAGAAATGAACCAATTTTCCCTTCACTTATTTATTCATGTAAGTCTACATGTGTTGATATAGTTTATTTTGTAAAATATACATTCATTGGTAAAAAATGATGAGGAAAATTCTGAATATCTTTGGAAAGTAAAGAACATTAATTTTGTTTTATCTTAAAGCTTAGTCTTGCACCAAGCCTTTTTGAACCCCCTCCCTATAACAAAGATTTGATTCAGGATTACAGAATGATGAACATAAATTTTTTATTTCTAGCCACAATGATCTGGCTGGTAAATATGGCCGACACCCCCGATACAGCAACAAGCAATACAGATGGGAAATCAAAGAAGAAGAGCAAACGTAAACGAGCAGCTGATCAGGCTGAAACAAGTAAGATTCTGGTGACCAGATGGACTCTTATTTGAGAAATATGAACAACATCAGAAATTCCCAATTTTTTTTCTTTGTTTCATAGCCCCAATATGGCCTATATTTCAAAATTCTTCAAATTCACAAATAAAAGAGGATTGAATAACCCAGAATTCAAATTAACCTATCTTCATGTAATGATGAATATCTTGGTGCATCTTTACATGAGGATTAGTCCATCTGTGAATGCTGGGTTATTTCTCCCTCTTGAATCAACAATATTAAAATACTGATGACAAAAGGAGAAGCAGAAGCAACAAAAATAATAAAATAAACTGAATTTTGAAATGTGTATTGGGCTTATGAATCAAACATTTTATGTATTTTAAGGTTGTACATATTTAGACTTTGTATTGAAACATAATAAGAGGCTAAGTAAAGGTCTCCCTTATATTAAAAATTTTGGTTTGCAGCATCTGCTGATAATTCCCCTTTTATTGTCCTATACTTGTTCCACTTCTGTGAATTCTTTTAATTAAGATTTACCCCCTTAGATCTGACGTCTCTTACTATAAATATTTTCTGACTATGCTAGCTATCATTTATTTACAAGTAATTGTGTTGCATCTTACAATTTCACTTCTATTTTTAAATGATTTAGCTAGTACTACTAGTATGTTACTAATATGTCTTTATTTGCTCTACTCTAGGCTTTTTTTAGTGTAGAATTGCAAATGACAAGAAAAGAAAAGTAATATTAGTTTTTACGCAGACATTATCGGTACCAATTCTTTTAGTTTCTGAAAATTTAATCAATCCATTTCAATGATTAAATTTCATAAATGCTTTTCTTTTTTATGTCATCTGCATAGAAGAAAATTCCCTGTGTATTTAACATATTTAATCCCTCTGTGTGCGCACTTATATGGTGATGGTGATTCTCATTCTGTCTGCTAAAATTTAAATTTTCCAGCAGATGACGCATATGATGGCACTGGAGAGAACCACCAGGCGGCAGTTCGAGATGACGGAGCAGCAGAGGGAGGATTCTCCAATTGGTCTCAAGATGAAGCCGCGGTGAGGATCCGTGATCGTCAGGAGAGACTGTCTGAGTCAGAGAGAGCGAGGCATGCTGCAGAGACCCTTGGGAGGGAACAAAGCAATAGAGAGGCAGAGTCGGAGGAGGAAGAAGAAAGTAAGTGAACGTATACAATTGTAGACCCATCCTGAGGTTGACTGTTAATTGTAACCAATAGCCAAATGGATAGATCTATATCTCTATTGACACTATAAAGATAATAACTTTCACGTTTTAATTGCCACATTAGTTGAGAGTTCTTGAAATGATTTCAATACAAATGCAGTATTTTATGAAAGTACATGTAACTCGGTTAGAATTTAAACTCAAGAAATCTTATTTTTCAATTGTGAATAAAACGTTTATTCACCTGATGACATGAACATTCCTAAACCGATTGAAGAGTTTATTTAAACATGTTGTATATTTTTATTGTTCTCTGTCCCTTTGCCTAAAGTAGTCCCTCTGTATTTGTTTACATTTAATTGCACTCATCAAATATTCTATCTTTTCTTCAGGGGGTGTAAAATTAGGACTTGGAGACTTTATATTCTACAGTGTACTCGTAGGGAAGGCCTCGTCATATGGTGATTGGAACACCACACTCGCCTGCTTTGTTGCAATCTTAATTGTAAGTAGTGTATAAATACGATAGGTGAACGGAAAAATATGTTCATTTCACATACTTAAAGGACAACTGAAATAGCTTTTCTCAACTTGAAGCTACAAAAATGCGGTTTTCTCCATTGTAAGCCCAACGTAGTGTTCTTGTGATAGCCATTATAAAATAAATGTTAGATAACTGCTAACGGTCATAGATAAAGAAATAAAACTAACTGATCAATCAAATTGGCCCCCACGTGATTAGTAACGGCATATACAAAATATAGCTTTGGTTTATTGGTTCCTTAGTAATCACAACGTCACGGCAACCATAGGATTGTTGTGTAACCAAATAACAAAACATTTTGGCATTATGACGTCATGATCTAATGGACCAAAACGGGTCACGTGGGGGCCAGTGAGAGATCACGTGGGGGCCAATAACGTCACAACCAATTCGAATATTGCTTATTAAGCAGCTATAACGATCGTTAGAGTGAAATAATTTTCACACTTCTGATGAGAAAACATGTCCAAATACATTTATCAAAAAATCATATTGATTGCTTTAGGTTAAAAATACCATTTCATATCTGCTTTAATAAACTCAGTCCAATTCAAATACAGTTATAATTGTCAGTTGAAAACCTGTGTAACTGGAACACTTCTTTAAGTGGTACACCTCTGTGAGTGGAATACATATGCAAATTAACACCCTGCTAGTAGCTTTCTTAGTGAAACACTTCCTAAATGCAATACTTTTCTGGTACAAAAGCTGTTCCACTTACGCAAGTTCTACTGTTATTGATATGCTGCAAACCACCATTGATGTTTAGGCCAGGTGAATTCAATATGATACAACATATCTTAGTTTAAAAAGAATTTGACATGCTTAAAATTGAATGGTCTTTAAACAAAAATTGACATGCGAAATATGATGCAGCATATAAAGTTTGAGTTTGAAAAAAATTGAACAAAGTCATGCTAATTTATATGTTCTTTAATTTTTTCCAGGGACTGTGCTTCACCCTTCTTCTACTAGCTATATTCCGCAAGGCCCTTCCAGCACTCCCTATCTCAATAGCTTTTGGACTTGTATTTAATTTCTCAACGGCATACTTAATACAACCATTTATGGACAGTTTGGCTGTGAATCAAGTGTATATCTAGCAGTACATTGGACCAGGAATGCCTGTACACTTAAATAGTGCACAATGTGTTGATTTCAACGCTGAAACATAAAGATCACTTGTACACTAAATAACATGCGTCAAAAGCATAAATATTTTGTAGGAACAAAATGGCTGTCAAATTTTGTATTTTCAATCATGTGTCATCAATACAATATATGGCCCAGATAAAGCCCTGGGTTGTTATGGTGATTTCCACTCTTATTACAAATATACTTTATTCCAACATGGACGTCATCTTTATTGTTATAGCCATGAAAACAGACTTGATTAATATTTTTGAACAGTTATTCCATTACAATTTTGTTGGGAATATGAACCACTTTTTCAAACTTCATTTGGTTTGTATGAAGTAACTCTTGGTTTAGGATCTTTCTAGAAACAACACAATTGATTTTTTAAGTAAAGTTAACAAAACATGTATGTTTTTCATTTTTGTCCATGTTGATATTATGGCTTAATATAATTTGTATTAGCAACTATTATATTTTGAAATTGCATGATTTATTTAGAATTGCTTGCTACATTTCCAGATAGTTTAAGTAATAGTCTGCCCTATCTCCCATTTCTCCATACAATCTATATCTGTGAATAACACATTTCTGGGGAAATGGAAAAAATAGGTAAATGGACATATTCTCAGATCTCTCCAGCATTATACCAACTGGGTGCCCTTTTAAAAATTTGAAATTCACATGCCATCCCGTTAAAAATCTGTTTGCGCCATGCCAAAATAATGAAATATTGAGATATTCTTGCCCAAAATAGGTCAAATTTGGCACCCTGTTGAGAGAAAATGTTTTCAAGTGGTTACACTACAATTAGGGATACACTTTGAAAAAGAGTATGGCTCATTATTGTTAAAGAATGATGTATGTGAGGAATTTGCTATAAAATTATGATGTATTTTTGATCAGGTATGTAAACGTTCAAGATTTGATCCATATCCAAATGCAGTCTCCTTGTCCTCCTTGTTATATGGAATAGGAAAGATGTTTTTCAGACCTGCATTTGGAGGATGAACCGTCAGTTACCAAAATATGAATGTGTATAACATCTCCAAGAAATAAAATCATATATATTTTATTCACAATTTTAATGTTCGTATGTAATTATATTTATTATTTTTTTGCAGTTATACAAGCTCAAAGATCATTCACTTAATATAGAAATGTGAGCCTCTCAATCAGCAGGTATAGTATGTTCTTATATATGCAAGGGGAGTGGGTTAAAAAAGTGCAAGTCCTTGGCCAAAATTATATTAAAATCAAGCAGTTTTTCACCAATCTGAGCACTTTTCAATTGATTTTAGGAAAACAAAGTCTGATTAGAGTACTTATATGGGTCTGCCTAGTATCATTTAAAGAGACACTGTCAACCAGCACTGTCATTGTGGACGGTTTTGGTACCATTTGCTTGGACCTTGAGCGTTTATGTATAAAGCAAGTGTCAGATTATTACTTAGGATTAAGGTGTTTATTTTGTGACAGAATTAATTTTCAACTGGACTATGAATTTGACCTCACGGTATATAGCACCTTAGTATTCCCAGATAGCACTAATCCATACCGAACTTTAACAAATTATCTCACTACAACATGTTGTGACGATCGTCGTGGAAACCTGTTTTGAGAACAGAAGCCAACTGCTTTATTGTAACATGACGTCACAAATCTTATATAACCATACCTTAGAAATGTGTTTATTAGTGACGTCACACTATGATACAGCTGCTTGGAAACAAATAACCTGGCAACCAACATCACATCTCAGCCATCTTAGAAACAAATGGACGTTCACTTTCAAAAAAGTTGGAACGGGACACACTATGAATATCAATCTGTTTGACTTGAACAAAGTGACATTCCAACAACTTTCAGCTATTCCGGGAATCGATGAATCATTTGCAAATGCAATATTAAAATACAGAAAACAGCACAAAGGTGTGAAACATTTTGACGAAATTTGGAAAATAAATGGAATATCCAGGCCAAAATACAAGATTTTACAAAGGCACGTGGAAGTTGTAGGACAGCAACCTTTGGTAGTCGGTTCAAAATTGCCATATGCCAAAGAGTCGTTAGAAACAGTGCACGCACGAGCTTATCGAGGGTTTCAAAAGAGAAGAACGGAGCTCCAAAAACGCGCCAAATCTGCAAATGGGTTCGTTGAGAGGCAAAAACTTTTCACATCAACTCCTAAAGTAGCACGACCCTCCAGCTATCAACAGCAAAGGAATAAACCAACCCCCATAAAAAATACCAAGAGGCAAACAAAACAGGCGTTTGTGTCTCCTATCGCTGAACCCGTCGTTTTGTCACCCTCATTTACCATGTCAAAAAGGAAGACAAAAACGCCTGAACAGAATCCATATTGTATCGAGGCGTCACCATCGGGAAATAAACTCAATGTCACTTGCAACCTTAACTATAACAAACGCAATAAAGATAAGGCCTCGTGGATGGTATTTCAGGTTGAATCTGGAAAAGGCGCAAGAAGGTCGGGAGTTGAATTTGAATCACCTGTAAATGAGGCAACAAGCACCACTCGTGTTCCATATACTCATACACAAACCCAAACATCCCGACACACTCTTCACGAAATAGCAAAATCCGTGCAACTGACAGGCGTTAATCGTAACACTAACCAAAATATTCCCAATATATTATCATCAGCTAGAAACGGGACACCATTTGAGATTCATCCACCTGGGCTACCTTCAGTCGGACAACCTAATGCGGGTAATGCTTCACAAAACAGAGAAGATAATGTCATCCAATCCCACATTCCCATCGAAGTAATGAACAAAGATCGTGACCAATTGATAGATGATACCAGAAATCGTCTAAAGAACGCTAAAAGAGACTTACGAAAAATAAGGGAAGTAAACTCACCAAGGAGATTAAATGAGAGGGCCATACACGAGTTCGAAGTTCAAACGTACAAAACGTTGGGACAAAAGGTACGATCAATAGAAAAATGGATTGAAGAGGTAGAAAAAGAAACAAGGGGAATGTATAGTGATATACAAAGCCTGAACAACAGCAATAGCAACCATAGCAATGAAAGGAGAAGTAAATCAGCAAATCCAAATCTGAAATCGACCAATTTGGACAAGACAGTAGATTTACAAATAGGTACAAACCAATGTATTTCATGTCAACAACCTATGGCATCTCATATGAATTCTCCATATGAAGTTCACGAGTCATATGGACAGCTACGTCGTGAGGACTTGACTACAACTGACCATCGAGCAGCGAATGAAGAAAAAACGCGACCGATGCATAAACGTAAGCCACAGGAACGTAAAACAGATGTTAGAAAAGACAATGATGGGGAAACAAGTCCAAAATCACAAAAGACTGCACGAAGTCCCAGAGGTGAGAGGGGGAGGCGAGAACACAGAGACGACCGAGAATCGAGAAATCGACACCGACAAAACACACGCCAAAGACCATCGCACAGGCCTCGTAGACACGACGGTAGCAGAAAGTCCCGAAAAGAAGAAGTGTGTAAAGTAATGTGACAGTTTAGGGTGTAATGTGATATGAACAGATAATACAATAACCACATGCATAATTGCACGATGAACGCTAGATAATTTTCCTTTCTCATGATTGATATTGCTACTTAATTTAGGAAGAAATCAATTTAGTTACAACTCGCTAATTTATACGTTTTGTTACTAAGATACACCAGGGGCGTGGCCAGCTTTCAGTCAGAGGGGGGGGGGGGGGGCGATCGCCAAAAAAATCGCTTTTCAGTCAGGGGGTGTGATTGTGAAAACAAGGCAAAAAAATAAGATTTATCTTGAATTTTACAAAAAATGCAACTTCCTTCAGAATTGAGCTAGAAGATTAAAATAAAAAGCATTTTAAAGCTCTTTTCTTTCATCTCATGGTTATATTTTGGCCTTCGCCTGTGTACTCTATATGACCTACCAGACGCAACCAACCCCTCTTTAAGTGTATCTGCTTCCTCATATTGGGAAAACCATACGGCGTGCACCCTGTAAAAACTCGAGGTGTAAACATTTTTGGGATGAATCTTTTTAAACCTTACACGGTAGCCTATCTCGATAGATCTCCCTCATTACACCTGTTTGAATTGTTACATTTGACTGAACTGTATAGAAGAAATGAATTGATCAGCGTGTCCAATGAGAAAAGGCCTGGTGTTATAATTCAAATGATGAATTGGATCATAATGATATCAAAAAAACTCCTGAACTGACTGTAGGCCTAATGGTAAATGAAATAGGCCCAACCTCTTGCTTACCAAAAGTGTGACCTGACTAGCTACCACAGAGTGCATGACCATGGAGTCATGGACTTTCAAGAAAACCCATGGAATGACAAATGGATCTAAAATTATTGTACATATTTCTTTGCTGAAAGGGCTCGACGATTAACAAGCAGCATGAGAAATAAGAAACATTTAGGCCCCTTATTTTGTATTTTGACTTTCACCATCATGGGCTTTCAAGATAGTTTTCTGTTGAAAGCCCATGCTTTCACATTACATATTTCTTTATGACATAAAATGAGAGGAAAAATATACGTATATGCGGCTACTCATTTAAGAACATCGTTTGACCCGATCTACAACAGCTATGTTGACGGGTCACCTCCAATGCCATTCACTGACTTCACTCATCAGACGGTTCTGGTATTAGATGATCAAATATTACTGATTAATATGTTTGCACTAATAATATAACATATACATAGGGATACTATGGTAGTATATATATTATTATACCACTCTAAGTCCAATTACAGTTGTATAACATGGGTCTATAACAGCGATATACAGTGGAGAGTGGTATATCGTCATCGTATACAACTCCTCCGTATACACTCCAGCGTATACCACTGTAGAGGTGCATTCTGGGAACTAATGAATAAAAAAATCATGAAAATTTTTATGATTTGCTAGAATCAAGCCACGTCATAAATGGTTGAGATCAACATCAGCATTATTGAGTTGGCTATGGGATATTTTTATGTTTTTTAATTGTTATGATTGTGTTCGAATCAACTGTAATTGAACTTAGAGTGGCATAATAAGATTATATAATGGTTCATTCTGTATATCGTGCATTTTATACTCTCGTGAGAATATAATATATTCACTCGTTCGCTACGCTCACTTGTGAATATATCATATACTCACTCGAGTATAAACACGATATACAGAAAGAACCATTATATAACCTCATATTATGTAACATATGTCATTAAATATTATTTTGAAAAATAACACTATAAAAAGTACATAAAGGCACATGACTATTAGTGTGCAACGTTTAAAGAACGACGGCGAGTGGTGTCTATGTGAATTGAAAATGTATATTTGGCAAAACGTGTCACAGATGGCCCTCTTGTCTTTATTAATTAAATCTTCAATAATTTCAATTCATAAACAGACTGACAGGGTTGTACCATTTCTGATGTGATGTCATTCCTAATTGATTTGATTCCAAATTGTACATAGGCTACAGTAAAAAAGTCTAATGTTATTTTATCTTGAACATGTGGTCCAACCCTTTTTGACGATCTAATTAGATACTTATTGTGTGTTACCCGAAGAGTGTATTTTAAGGTATTCTTTAATTATGAGATCATATGAGCTGTTTAAGTACACTCTACAATGATGCTGTAAGCTCTATGACACAAAAGTAAGATTTGGAGTTGATAAAAATGAAGCTATATATCTGGACAATCGTTTTACTTGGGCTTGTGCTCTCGTCACTCGCCGATGAGAAACCGGTGAAAAGGAGACGGTTAAGATTGAGGAAAAAGAAGAGGACGCCATTACCAAAACTGCCCACTCCACTTCCCCTAATTGCAAAAGAGTCCATTGGATACAAGGCGGTGGTGCATACTCTGCCTCCAATTTTTCACATGACTTTACCAGTTACTGGACAATCTGGGGAAATCGAGAAATATGCAGATATTATAAGTGCAAAAATACACGAGAAGATGCAAACAAATCCTCCAACTATTACAACAGCGAATGAAGATCTAGAAAAGTTTTATTCAACTCGTCCTGCTGCAGAATCTAAGCACGAGGAGACCCATTCGACAAAACCGAGTCCTGTTTTAGATATTACAAACGTCCCTACGATAGGACTAGATATTTCCAATATAATTAAAGCAGTGGAGGACAGGGAACGTTCTCCAATTGAAATACCCGGCTCTGACAAATCCCTCACACGAAACGGAGAATTCAATCCGCGAAAAGGATACGATGGCATACTCGAAAAGGACAATGATGACTTCCCTATAAAAGATGCAAAAGGCAACCAGCCACAACCTTATGGTATGGTGGACAGCGAAAGCTGGAACCCCAAATCGCAAAACAGAGAAGCTAGTCAGCCACAACGTTATAAAGAAATTCCTCATGAACCTCAAAGTTATGGAGAACGCATGGAATTCCTACAACATGGTCATCTTCGTCCCTACAAACAACCACAACCACGAAGATCAGAACCACGTCATCGACCATACAACCCCCAGCCGCATAGACCAATGCATTACGAGCAACCACGTTACAACCAAGATCCATATTTCCCAAGGTACCCAAGTTACTATCGAGGTGATCTCTACGATTTCCATCATTTTAACCATCGTGATGCGAATCCTCAAAGTGACTTGCACAATCTTAATAACCCCTGGGATGAAAAGTTAGAAGACCATCCGAGTGAACCTGACAAGGCTGAACATGTAATTCACGATGATATAAAGATTCCACGTCATGAACTTCATGTTACTAAACCTGGTCCTATTGAGGACGTTGATGAGAGACTCGACAAAATAGACGACAATACAGCACCGATCAAGCGCTTTAAGTATCGCTCCGAACCTGTTTTTGATTCCTATTTTGACAGCCCAATGATGCCATGGGAATATAAAAGACCATATGGTTACAGACATGATAGGAGACCATACGAAAGAATGCCCCATCATCAGCCTCGCTATAGACAGTTTGACGACTTACAGAACGATCGGCGATATAATGCAATGGAAAATGCTCGTTATAGGCCAGTACATGAAACACATAGACAACTAGAAGAAACAAAGAGGCCATTCATAGTCCCAAGTACGTCCGAACCATACCGAACTTTAGCAATGATGAATGAATTACCTACAACAAATACTTATAACAAGTACACAAGTTTGGCTCCGAAGATGGTGAAAGAGTCAAATCAAATTAAACGCGTCGAATCAAAGAGTTTCATATTTGGTTTACAAGGTGCAACACCCAAAAGACTACCATCGTATAGATATGGCGATGATGATGTTAAGGCACATATGATTAATGCTGCCCCTATGTCAAACCCTACTACTTGTAAGTACTTTGAAAGTTACGTATCTTGAAACTCTTACTCACCTTAACAAAAATACATTATTTCACGTAAATAGGCCTTTTTGATTCATGACATAAACTGGAAAAAGAGTTCACGTTAGTCTGTATTGTCGATTGTTTTTGAAAAAGTACCAATCGTACGGTTACACTGGTTTTCAGATACTGGTGCCACAGTTGTTGATTTGGCTAAAAAGTTTGGAGCTTCAACATTCGCTGAGCTTCTTGATACCACTCCACTGAGGACATTGACAGGTACATGTCTCAAAAAATTCATGGAATTGGACAGTATTTTCTTTAAAAATATGAGGTTGGCTAAAATGGCGTTCACTTGTAAATAGGGAGTTCAAGCTTGCTATGTTTTTCACAACTTTAACGTGAACGGGAACTATTTAAGAGATGTATTTGTATGGGTGATTGGTCATACGTATAGGTTGGTGTTAAACTCCCTAATAACAGAATCGCTAACAGCATTGTCATCATTTATACAGGATAAGATTGTAACCAATAACAGGTCTTCTCAGAATGGCTCAAAAAACGCAACCCTATTATTTGAAATAACTATTATGTCCCATATCATTATCATATATGTAAAAATGGTCATTATACGTGGAGACTTCTATCCTTTTGACAATATCTGAAAGTTTTACTGTTTACGCCGATTTATTTTTCAGATTCCTTTACCGTGTTCATTCCCCCAAACTCAGCATTCACTAGCATTGCTAAGGACAACCGCACGTCTCTAGAATCCATACTGCAGTATCATATAGGTACAGAGGTAGCCTTTAGATCAGAGCTTGGGAATGAAGTCCTCATCGATACAAGGGCAGGGGTACCAGTAAGGATCAATGTCTACAAAAAAGTTAGTATGCTTGTAATTGAACAACGTTAATCAACATTTCAACCACCAGGTCTCAATACAAAACATCATTAAGAAAGTGGCGGATCCGGCCCTTAAGTTGGGCTAAGAAAAAAAATTGGGCCTTAAAGTGGGCCTTTTTGGTCATTACTAGGCCTTCTAAGGCCTTATTTTTTAATTTCAGGCCAAATTTTAAAGAAAATGGGCCTCAAAATTTCAAAATTTGGGCCCACTTTTTGGTTTTAGGGGCCCAGAGTTTTTTTCTCTGACCGAAAATTTGGCCCCCCCCCACTTGTTGGTTTCTTGATCCGACACTGTTAAGAAACCTTTAATTACTATGATATGAGTTTCTATTTTATTTTACAAGGTGACATCTGCATCATGTGTTCCAATCAAATACTTCGACAAGGCTATTGCAAGCGACCGTAATTCTCGGCCATCTGCAGTTGGACATGTCCTGGATGGAGTTCTTACGATACCCTCGGGGACCATATTGGATATCGTATCATTGGGCAAGGAATTCAGCACACTTAAAAAGGCAATTGCAGTTGCTGGCATGACAGAAGCACTACTAGGTGAATGCATGAATCAGCAAGGAAATCCATTACTTTATAAGGTGTTGTGAGGGGGGGGGGCACAAACCGTTACCACAATCAGATTTCTTTTTACTCAAACTCGTAACTGAGGAAATACTTCAAATAGAAAGAAGGTTTAACAGTCTATCCAATTTGCAGTAAGGGTTGCTAAACAACTGGAGTGGAGTGTATATCTTTAACCGTTGTAACAGGTTTTCAATACTGATTTGTTGTAATCTTTGTTTTCAGGCGGACCATTCACCATATTTGCCCCTAACAATAGGGCATTTAACAATTTGCCATACGGAGTTTTAGATGCTTTACTAAAAAATCCTTCAAAACTAAAGGGTAAGAACAAAGACTGACATCCTACTGAAAATTTTTAACTGATATATTCTATTATTGCTTTTGAACATTTTTACTGGCAGCTCAACCATCTTTTCTTTCAGAAACTCCCATGGATAAAAATGTAATGCATATGAAATGATATGACATAGACTGTCTTATACATGTATGTATTTATTGTACGTTTCAGATGTCCTTTTATACCACATAGTAGATGGAACTATCTGTAATGTTGGCCTGGAGAGTGGACCTCTCAAGACGTTGAACGGACACAGTGTCAATGTTGCCGTTTACTGTAAGTAATCAATGAAGACTTTAAGCATGGGATGTTTTGTAGTATTTACTTGCCCAATTGAGTATAGAGATATTAGGAAAATTTGATCCTGGAAAAAAACAATTTAGAGGCGGACTTCTTTAATCCCAGGGGTCATCATATTACACGTTTATGTACAATTTCTCAAATAGTGCGTACCTTTAAAATATTACAGTGGTTACGTTTCAAATCAAATGATCCTTTAATATATTATAGTCTACACTATAGACTTGTATGAAAATGACGTATATATTTTGACATTGCTGTTTTATTCTTTGCTCTTAACACTTCTGAAGTTCCATAACGGCAACGAAAACGTGATAAAAATATGTCGCACGTATATATTTGATCCTGAAATTACGGTCGTAGATGATTTGCATCAATTGTAAAAAAACATTGATCCATATAGCGATGTGTTTGACCGCACATCCAATGCTCAAAGAATGCTCTCTTTTCCCAAAAGGTTGCATCAATTAAAAATAATCTCAAGTACCAATACGATAGGCCTACCTTAATCAAAGATATTTCATTTTAGCTGCAGCAAGGATCAACTTCAGCAATGTACTCGTAGAAGACATTGTTGCCACTAATGGCGTAATACACGCCATCGACGCTGTGCTTATCCCTCCAGCTACCACCATTGTAGAGGAAGCCAAACCTCACCAACAACAATTCTACTAGTATCTTGATTGCTGTCAACAAACACTGCCTTGTCACCTGTCTCGGACTTGTTTCCTCTGTATCTAGTTGGAGAGGAGAATATCATGAATATTGCCCTGCTCCAGCATACTGGTTGCATCTACATTGCATCTGTATTTTTCCTTTTGTACTTCACCACCATTTGGATGGGGTGGTGTGTATAATTGGGAGGGGAGGAGTCACACGGAGACCTGTATTTAGACTTGTCTTTTTGCCTGAACTTGTGGAATATTGGGTAACTTGTTTGAGCAAAGAATAGATGCCTGAGTATGCTTGATGCAGTTTATTATTTTGTTTAAACTTTAAAGTACTCAATATGCAACGAATGGAGTACAATTTTACGCCCTCCTACTTTATTATCTGAACGCATAGTCTAATGCAGCAATTTGTCTCCAGGAGTATCAATAGATGGCATAAAATTAGCATAGAATAACTTTAAAAATCTCAACAAAATGATTATCACTTTATATTTTATCTTCTAACATGTTGGAACCAAACCCACGTGATATGACCATTGTGTGCCATCTATTGGCGTCCTCGAAGACATTGGAGCTAGCGCAGTATATTCAATTATGCTTGATGCATCAGTTGTCATGATATTTCATTCGAGCATTATCTTATCATCGTCTAATATTTAAAAAAATACAGTTGAGACAACGTTGGAATGATTATTACCGTTTTGAAATAATTCTATAAAATAGATGTCAGTAAATTCAAAATTTGTTCAATTTCTTTCTTGACAAGACGATTGTGTTTGATAAAAACAAGATGCGGGGATATTGTATGAATTCATAAAACATACACATTCTTTTGTTGAGATGGTCCCAGAGTATAGCAATCCAGAAAACAGAAGCAAACCAGTCCATCAAAAACATTCTCATATTTACCAAAAGTGACGAGGCGGTGTACAATGTTCGTGGTATATAAAATTTCCCGATCGCACATTTACAAGATTCCCAGAGCCCTATTAAAATCTCTCTGAGTGCTTTTCTAATTGGTTAATTGAAAAATATAAACCATAAAGGCAAATGTGAAGTGGACTTAGTTGTAATCCTCGGGGGTATGGTTCCTGGTTTTCACGTTCCTTGTAAATAAAGCTATCCCAAGGAAATAATTCAAGAAAGCTCGGTTTCTATAAATGCAAATAAAAGCAAAATACGATAAATTAGCATGGAATAACGTGATCAGAAATGTAATGAATTCTCTGAATTCTAAACGCAGATACTTCAGGCTAATTTTTGATAAAAGCGGCAAAGAATAATATACTAAGGGAGACTTCTTAGCACGGGGCCCCATTTTGTACTAGTATTTACTGCAATCTGAACGTTTGTTGAAGAGTTCAGATTTTTCAAACTTGAACTCATTTCCCGCAACATATCTTGGGTGGTATGTTCAGATTTTTTGAACAACTTCCTTGATGTTTAACACTATTGCGTCAAGTTTGTTTGCAAAACATCACACTCACCAAATAAAAAAATAATACTGATCGGCAAACCTGTGAAACCCTAGAATCCAAATTATTTAATGGACCAACATGTACTTTGTATTTTGCAAGTTTTATGATGATTTGGCGAAATAGCTAGAATTGTGCAATTTTAGTTTTTCAAAAGCTGTCATCTTCATGGAACCATGGACAAAATGAGTGAACCGTTTTTGCCCCTTTATTCATATAAATCTGCATTTTCTATCGGGAGCGAAACGACCGTCTACATGTGTATATAGATTGCAAATAAGAGCTCTTTTGGAAAGCTGGTAAGGCTAAAGGACTTGTAAGTTGTATGCCAGTTGAATTGGTAAGAAACATCTGGCTTGCAGACTGCAGTGTTTGAATTGTCTTGCTACAGTTACAATAACTTAAGCTAATTTAACATAGATTGTTTGTGAATGTGATTTTGTTACTTTCAAAAACGTTCCATAAGGAGTATCATTTCTCGACCTAAAATAGCCCATTAGATCTAAGTTCCACGAATGACGAACGTAGGTAATCGTTATCTATATATGATTCAACGTCTGTACGTTCGCTCGTCATTAAGTGACGTTCGTCATTCTCCTGCATCACCAAGAGGGGGAAGTGCGAGCGCACAAAGGGCAAAATAAAATAAAATGTTATAAAGATATCAATATAGACTGTACATATATTATTTAACGTCAATATTAATCTATTCTGGTACGAATCGTTAGTTTGGTACTTATTCACCTGAAATTGGACACTATGGTTGTAATTATGAGTGTCCCGGGGGATAGAACTCATATAATTAGAATTATATCATATTCGATGCACTTTACAATTTTCAGTCCTAAGATAAGATTCGGATTATATTCTAGTAATCTCAGGTGTGATTTTGGCGTACACATTGTGTCCATATGTCCATATCTTATCTTGTTTATTCCGGCGAACATCTATCCTTAAATGTAAGAAGAGAATATTCTTTAAAAAACAAAACGTACAAAAATGATCACATTTAGCAAGAAATAAATCAAATCGACGCAATGTTTGCACTCTAAATTATCAATAAATTAAAAAATCCAGGTACTGAATTCAAATTCTTAAGATAAAATGAAGGAAATATCAAGCCCATGATGATATTTTGCTGAAGGAGTGTCCAGGTGAATCCACGTACAACATCCAGGAAGAAGGATCTATCATAGGGAACTACTTGAACAACTGCGCGGATGATTGATTACCGCAGCAAGCCCTAGTAATATTCCTCCGCATTCTTGACAGATTCTCAGCGCTCACATATGTTCATGTCATCAATATCTGTATTTAGTCATACTTTGACTAATTTCATTAAATACATCCCAGGGTAAAATACTGAGAACCCTTAAAACTCCACTGTCTTGTAACATCTTACGAATTCCCTACTGACACTTGTTGTGGCAAATTTTGGTGAAGGTAGCCCTGAAGCAATTGCGTTGATATGTACACAATGGAATAACCTTAGTAAGAATTGAAAGAGATGATGCATAAATTTTGAAAAGAAAAGGCAATTTTCAGATAATTTTCACGGGAAATTACACGAAATAAGCGCGGCTAAAGTTGGGTGAAGTTTTAAAAATGGAGAGCGGTCCATTCTGTTGTAAATTGCCTAGAACACCTGGTTAAACTGAAGGCCTGATAAGCTATATCTTTCTTCACTTCTACAGCACTTATTTGCTTAATCTACTAATAGTTTATTTAATAAAGATGTTCCAGTCATGTTCCGTATAAATCATTCCATCATTTGAGTCGGGTTGTTTCTGAGTAGAGTCGGATGTGGAGGCTACGTGGTTCATTATAAATCATAAAAACTAGCAAAATACAAAATGAGCACCGGCCAATAAACATCAGATTCCAAAACTATGAGGGGAGGTGATACGTGTGCTTAAGTAAAGTGGCAACATTATCAAAACAATAAGTGATCATATTTCCATATACTTGATAATCAAATTGGTTGCTATATCAATAATGAGTACGCTCTTCAAAATATGATGACAAAGCTAGCAGGTATTGACGTATTTGACTAAAATGAATTACAAATGTAAAGGTTATTCCACATATCAATTATCATAATCATAGAGAGGCACATATTTTAAAATCGGAAAACAGACACGGATGCCTAAAATTTAAAACGCATCATCGACCGAGAAAACCAGGATTTTTTAAACAAATGTAAAATGACACACTATGACATCACTTTCGAGCCTCATTTTTAAACTCTTAAACTTGTTTTTTGCTTTTTAGAACTATTTTCATTCTCCAACATATTTTTTATGTAAACAAAAATTCGTATAAATCGTATGTCGTTTCCAAGTTACGATTATCACCAAATAGCTCAAATAGCATAGTAGAAATAACAATAGTAACAGTAATCAAAATTATTAAAAAATATATATTCAAATGATTTTTCAAATTTAGTTCTGGTTCTTTTTAAGGAAGATTTTTAAGTATGACTTGGAGAACAAGTCCCCAAAAATATGACTTCAACGTGGACACCTTGTAGTGAAGATTGTAAACCACCACGAGGAATTTTGAATCTATTGTCCTTCGATATATTAATTGATATATTAAGGTTAATGGTAAGGTCAACATAATTGATCCGATTTGAAATACGTTCTGTTGAAACTATTTCTGATGTTATCATTTACTTTTGATGACATATCGGGAATGTCTGACCCTCGATTCACCTTTCAAATCCTACTCCACACATTTCAAAACCATTCTATTTTATCTTGGACCAGATCAGATTGTTTAAATAACTTTAAAATAGTTGTTTAGTTGAAAATTTTCGTATAATTTTGAGTGTTAAGTAATCATTTGATGCCGTACTTATGGGTTCTATTCATCGTGATATTTGAGACGTCCAAAATGTCAGTAAATTATTGCAACTACGAAAAGATTTAGCAAGATAATGCAAACGTAGCGTGATATTTCACGTTTGAAATTTCCATTTGGACATATCTCCAAAAATATTTTACGTTATTGTTAGGCTTTATAAACATAATTCTTAATTGTTATTTCGCATGCAAGTTTGGAGGATAAAGTATCAAAGTTCAAAGCTATTTTATACCAATTTGACTGACGTGTTATTTATTAATCGTGATCCGATGTTTTAAATCTTTATTAATGAATTACAAGATGTGTTTTTTGTTTATGGGATTAGCGAATGTGTTTGTCATAATCCCAGATCATTGCATGGTCAAACTGTGACTTCGCTTCAAGTAATGACGTAAGCTCATTGCAAACATCCATTTCATTATCTGGCATGTTTATATCATAATCATAATGAAAAATACCAATTAATTGTCTCATCACTCAAAATCTTTCAATAGAAGTTGAAAAGTTGAAGGCCATAAATTTATAATGTGAAATCACAAAGGGCAACATTCTGAAAACCAAACAAAAACAAGAGATGATAAGAATATCGAAGGATTTAGTAGTTTTACAGTGAATTATAAACTGTAGTGTATACATCGAAATACACGCGAAATAGTGAAGAATTCACGAGAATTAATAATTGTATGGAAATAAAAGGAAATTTTACATGTCTGTAATTTCCTACAACATTGGTGGTGGTCGCCTACGAGGGAGATGGAGTTGAGTCTTCGTCTTCCATGCAATTCCCCACGATCTCTGATGTTACATATATACGAGATTGGGGCTTGGATGATGGAAGCCTCTTCAAACGCAGTAAACGGATACAGTGAAGCACTCATTTACCAGATCTTCACAGAAAGAACTCCCATCAGAAATACTTGAAGACTTTCTAGCGCATGCGCATTGGCAAATTCAGAAAGTATAGAATTTTGAAGGGAAGTTTGAACCAATCATACGTCAGTATTTTGGTACAAAGGCGATATGATCGCATTATCATATCATATGGCCATATCCAGATTTGGCTCCACACCGTCTGTAAAAATTGGTCAAAAGTTCCCCGACTGGAGTTTCCAAAATACTGCTGAGAAATCAGAAATTTTATGCAGAAAAACTTAAATCGTAACGAGAATGAAATTGGATATAACACGGAAATTGGATATTTGAGAAACACGAGTGCCAGAGCGGAATTATCATTAAAGGATACAATCCCGTGCCACAACTGTTAAAATGTTATGCTAATTGTGGTTTGTTAAAAAACAAAATGCCTTGGACAGCAAACTGGACACTTGACAGATTAACACATGGATTAAAACAAGTCAATTATTTACCTACCATACAGTTATAATTGTAAATAATTCAATA